AAAATATATATCGAGATTTTAAACCAATTAATAATATTCCAAAATATTGACAAATCCGTTTAGAAGTTTAGTTTTCTTTGCTTCAATTCTATAAAAGTATCCAAAATATTGAATAACCTTATCATAATTCTTTCTTTTAAAATTCTTTATCCAACAAAAAAAGTAAGAATCCGACAGTAATCAGCCACTTGAAGCAATCTTTTTAATTAACACTGTTTTAAAAGTGCAATTCATATTTTTTTCGAATTCTTTTATGTGATGTTGTTTCTTACGATCACACAAAACTATTAAAACAATCATGTTTATAAAAAATAAATTTTTATTCGTTAAAAAAATTAGTAAATAAACAAGTAAGAATCCGACAGTGATCAGCCACTTAAAAAAGCTTTCAAAAACCGTACAAAATTTTTTTTTTCAATTACAAAAGCTTAGATTTGTTTATGATCGCACCTTAGAAATGATTAGCAACAAACAAAATATTTTTATCTCATACGGTTTTATAGCTATTCAAAATTGAAAAGTGGCCGACTACACGGAAAAAAAAAGTTCGAGGATTATTCGGGAACTTCGTTCTTAACTCTTGGATACGGCGGGTAGTACACAGATAACTAAAGGTTGCCTCGTTTAAATATGTAATTTACTATTTCTCTACAAATTATAACTATTTCACCGCTTCTCGGCAAACTGTTCTTGAAAAAGTCGGGAACTGTACAAGAAAATCGAAAAGTTAGGCGAATGCAAGAAAAAATGGATTCTGCTTCCCCCCTCCCACTTTCCCTCATTAATAAGTGCGCACACACACACACATTTATCCTTGAAGGTCACATACAATTTTTATTTTTTATTAAGTTTCTGAAATAGAAAAAACCATATTAGAGAAAAATCGACGGCGGCTGGAACAGAACTCGCGTACCCGAGAATAGAAGTCCGGCGTCTTATCCAGCTGAGCTAAACAGGCGAGTTAAATACCTCAGCATAAAATAAATATATAAGGCACGCAAGTCTTACTGACGGTGAGACTTGTTGAGACTGGTGCGCACAGTTTCTGCGCACCAAGATTCCTTGACGAGTTCCCGAAAATTTCAGAAACAGTTGCGGCCAGTGCCATGAACTTTACATGAGAAAGTAATGAAAAAGAGACTAATGGACTATTTATAGCTTTTTCTAATACAGTTCCCGAATTTCTTTCAAACATTCATTGATTACCATTGAATGTTCGTCGCTAGTTCAGAGCTGTTACCACGTATCCAAGAGTTAGGAAATAATTCCTGAAACATCTGGGAACTTTTTTTTTCCGTGTACTGTCTGGTTTACCCTATACACAGTTTTTAATTTTTACTCAGCGTCAATTCTCTACCACGAATCTTGATATAATTTTCTAAATTGTTTTTTATTATTTTTATAATTCTTTTACGTATGGAAATGGAAAAAGATTCATTTCTTTAACCCTTTAACGTCCAAATGTGCTGATTTTTAACTTCGGTTTCAAGCTTATAATATTAAAAGAAAAAAATTATTAAAAATTCTACAAGGACATGTCCATATGTTTTTGGGGTCGCTCTTTCGAATGGCATGGTCAAAATTTCCAAAAAGTGACGTTTAACCCTTATTTTCAGGGACCGTCACGGAAATCAAATTTTGATTTCGTTACGATATTCCAAAACAAAACGAAATTATTAATGTATTTTGATTTTGATTCGGTAACGAAACAAAATTTACTTCCTATTTTGATTCTGATACTGTAACGAAACTAACAAAATTTACTTTCTATTTTGATTCCGATACTGTAACGAAACAAAATTTAGTTTCTATTTTGATTCCGCTACTGTAACGAAACAAAATTCACTTCCTATTTTGATTCCGATAATGTAACGAAACAAAATTCACTTCCTATTTTGATTCCGATAATGTATAACGAAACAAAATTCACTTCCTATATTGATTCTGATACGTTAACGAAACAAAATTTACTTCCTATTTTGATTCTGATATTATAATACTGCAATTCGGTTTTCTTATAGAAACAGAAGTCGATTCGAATTCTATTTCAGATTTCGTATGTAAAAATGATATTATCTTCTGATATATTTGACATTTGCAACAAAATTTAGGTTCAATGAGAGTTATACATGCGCAGTAGTATTTTATCAAAATTAAAACAAAAAAGAATTTTGATATTGGAATCAAAACTAAATAGAATGGAATTTTGATTCTGATACCCATATCCGAATCAAAACAAAAGTATTTTTTAATTTTGTTTTAATTCCGTGACGGTCCCTGCTTATTTTTTTCAAAAATACTTGAAAAATATAAAAATTTTGGGAAGTAATTTTTTTTAAAATCCAATTCTTGTTGTGATGTCGATTTTTTCAAGTCATCTAAAGTTTAAAAAACGTATTCCCGATAGTTTTAGTTTAAAAATATGCTTTGCGATTAAAGATGTTTGGTATTCTTTGATTCTAAATGGCGGCTGAAAGTGAAAAATTTTCCAAAATTTAACACAGGATGGATACAATTTTCCAAAGTTCTTAAAATCGCTTGAAATCTGTTACTCGGGGATTTTCGAGGTCGATGATTACGAACCTGAAGTCAGATTTTAAAAATTCAAAATGGCGAATCCAATATGACGAACAATAAAATTAAAAATGCATAGTATTCGCTTGAAATTTGTTACTGGGGGGTTTTCGGGGTCGCTAATTACGAATCTGAAATCAGATTTAAAAAATTTAAAATAGCGAATCCAATATGGCAGACGACAAAATTGAAAATGCATCGCATTCGTTTAAAATTTGTAACTTGGGGGTTTTCGGGGTCGCTGATTATGAATCTGAAGTCAGATTAAAAAATTCAAAATGGCGGATCCAATATGGCGGACGACAATATTAAAACTTCATATATTGGCTTTAAATTTGTTACTCGGAGGTTTTCGAAGTCGCTGATTATGAATTTGAAGTCAGATTTAAAAAATTCAAATTGGCGGATTCAATATGGCGGATCACAAAATTAAAAATGAATCGTATTAACTGCTCATGCCCTGTTAAATATTCTAACATACGAAAACGTCTTTGTAGCCAATAGGATGAAGTTTTAATTTTATCATCCAGCTATCAGCGATCCCGAAAACCTCCGAGTAACAAATTTGAAGCCAATATATGAAATCTCCCGCTCAGATTTTCTCACATGCCGGAAAAATCCCAGGCTAATGGGCGCGAACCAAGTACCCTTGGTCCTACAGCGTCCGCCGAGCGAGGCATTTATCCGACTGAGCTAATCTGTCGGTTCAAATGGATATCATATTAAATGCCATTTATGCTATATAAATTGTATTTTTGTCAAATAAAATTTATGGTAAATGGTTTTATGTCAAATGACTATTATTTCAAATAAGATTTCCGGAATAATCATGCATCTCTCAACATCATCCTGGAATATAACTTTGAAATTACTGTGGAACATTCCATCAATGTTATTTTGGAATATTCCGAATATGAAATGTAATATTTCCTTCATTTTAAGGTTATATTCCGTGCTGCTTGGGCATAAGAAAAACCAAAATTTTGTCGGTGCATAGAGCCATGAAACGCCCCATATAGCATTTTAAGATGATTCACATTTTGAACAAGTTGAAACCTACGATATTGGCTGGTTTTAATAAAAAATTTAGGGGGAAATGGATCAAAAGTACTAAAAGATGGGCAAATATTATTTTTGAAATATCTTTTTTATTTTTTGTGTATAACAATTTGTGTTTAAAGATTTTCAATGCGATAAGAGCAATTGTTTAAAAGAAACTGTTAGAGGCAAAAAAAGAGATATTTAAAAAAATCCTTTTTTCCCCACTTAACCCTCCGTCACACACATGAGAAAAAATTACGACTTTACACACGTTTAGAGGGAATCTCATTGTAAAATAAGCAATATTACAACATAAACAAAGGAATCAACAAAAATTTAGTTTTAACACAAACTTACAAATATGTAGTAAATTATTCTAAATTATAAAATTAATAAAATTAATATTCGGTCTCAAAAATGAAAATTAATTACACGAATGCACTTATTCTTCGAAGGAATTCCACTTGACATGTAAAAATAATGTAACATTATTTAAATAAGCAAAAAAATCATTAAACAATTCATTTTAATTATATTTATAATATAATTTTGTCATTAACTAACAGTGGAACAAAAAATGTTTTGAAAACTTGATTTTTTTATTTAACATAACCTCACTTTTTCGGGTTTTTTCTGGCTTTGAAGCTTCATAATTAAATATTAATTATATTTAAATTAAATGTTTTTTTAGAAATGTGTTGAGGAGTAAATTGTAGAAAGGTATAGAAACTGATTTTATTTTGCAATGATAGGAAAACAAAAGTTATTTAAAAAATACTGAAACCGTAGAGGGAATCCCTCCCTAGGTGTGTGACGGAGGGTTAATTCACATTAATATCAAACATCGGAAAAAAACCTCGATACATCGAAAATATCGAAATTAAAACATCGATGTTTCCGATGTGCCATCATTACAGAAAATCCTATTAGTAAGAAAAGAATAGACGTATCTTCATCCTTTTCTAACTAATTATCCAGAGAATCAGGCTGACATTCAAAACCTAACCTTCTAAGTTTAACCGTCCATTTTTCTCCGTGTATAAATAAATATTTAGTCATTTCAAAAAAACTATTTTATTGATGCAAATAAATATTTATTTTAATTAAAAACTATGCATTATTGAATCAAGTAATTTTCCTAATTGATTTAAAGCAATATTTATTAGATCAAATTATTCCATTTAATTGACTTAAGTAATTTGTATTTGGTTCAAATAACTATTTATTTGATACCATAAATTAAAATATTTATATCCAGCATATATTTACTTAGTTCAAATAAATAAAAATAAATAAGTAAAAACAAATAAGTTTAAATACAACCGAACGAGCGGTAGCGAGTGAGGTATATGTCGCTAGTATACAAATAAAATTGTTAATTTCAGGTAAACACGAGCGAGGAAGAAGGCAGTGGAAGCGGAAGCAGCAGCAACGGAAGTATAATAACGGGCCAAGATGACCGTTCAACGCCCTTAATCGAGAGAGTGTGTCCAAGCGAGAGCAGCGGTATTGGAAGTTTATCAACATTCAGCAGTTACTATGACCGTTCGCCAATTGTAATAGATCCCGAGAAACTCGGACAATTTATAGCCTCAACAAATGAAAAAACCGAACGACTGACAACGACAAATAATAATAACAATAATGATTCACGCGGTAGACGTTCAACATCACTGCCGAGTCCTCCAATAGCAACAGTGATAAATGACGATCGCAGTTTGTCGCTGCCCTATTCGCCTGGACTGCAACCCCGTGGAAACCGTGCAGCGTCAGTGACAAGTCGCAGTGAGAATCCAAATCTCCAGAGGCTCACGCCACTAAAACGAAAAACGGATAATTCTCATCTTCAAGAACCAACGCGTAAGACAAGTTCATCGAGTGTTAATGCACTGACAACATCGACGGCGTCTATTAATCCGGGACAATTATCACCAGTGCCAAGTGCAACGGGAAGTAAACGAAATGAAGTCTATGTTTGATCATTTTTTTTTAAGGATATGATTTATTTTACGGTGCCTTAGTTGTATTTTCAAGAAAAGAAGAACAATCCGTCCCGATTGAAGTAATTTCAATCACGTTTTATTTTTTTTTTTACAGTTTATCAAATTTGTAACTTAAAAAAAAGGAAATTTGTATTTTTTTCTATTGTTTACTTGGAAAAAATTAGGAAAAAAGTAGAATTTGGTTTTTCCCAGTCAATATAATTCGATTGGAAAATTAAATTAATTTTGGATGTGAATTCAATAGTAATAATTGATTAATATTGAATGTAAATTCCATAATAATTAATTAGCATTGAGTGAGTATATATTAATTATCCGAATTTAATTGATTATTACTTAATTTAATTATTCAAATATTGGAACAAAGTGGATAAATTAAATAATTGAGGGCCTGCATACAATAACAACCGCTGCGCTTGGTTGTTATTGTATGCAGGCCCTCAATTTACCCAGTTAAATTAATTGCGACTTAATTAATTATTAACTAATTAATTCAATTATTCAAAATATTGAATCAAAAGTGAGTAAATTAATTAATTTACCGACTTTAATTAATTATTACTTAATTAATTATTTTACCGACTTCAATTAAATAATTACTTAATTAATTAAGTTCTACTTCATTAATCCTGGTATTAATGTAATCAATAATCAATTAGGTATTACTTAATTAATTAGGTATTCATTATTCAGGTATTACGTAATTATTAATTTCTTAATTAATTAAGTAATACTTAATGAAATAAACAATTTTCACTAAAAACAATATTTTACTTATTGAAAATATTTTTGTAAAATTCTGAACGTTCAAATGAAGGAAATATTTTTTGTCGTAGTAAATATTTGCAAATAATTATTGACTGCAAAAAAAAAAATTAAACATGAAAATTAAAGTTTTACGACATTTTTATAAATTATATTTTTAATACTTAAGAACATTATCAACAATTTAGAATTTGAAAAAAAATTGAAAGAAAATAATAATTTGATAAATATAAAGAAATTGTAAAATTATAATAAAATTAAAATTGAAAAGAAAATTAAAATAGGAAATTATAAAAGAAAAGAAATCTAAAGAAATTAAGTAAATTAATTAAAAGAAAGGAGATTTAAAGAAATTAAGTAAATTTACTAAAAGAAAAGAGACATAAAAAAATTTAGTAAATTAATTTGAAACAAAGAGATTTAGAAAAATTAAGAAACTTAATTAAAAGAATTTTTTCTTTTAATTCGAAGAAATTTGGTAAATGAATTAAAAAATTCTTAAAAAATAATAATGTAATAAATATTAAGTTAAACAAATAATAAATTTTTTTAAAAAACACTGAAATTTATTTGAATATTTAGAATTTTTTTTGACATTAGTGAAATTTTTTTCTGTCAGTATAAATAAGAAGCTAGACAATTTTTTTTTCAACACAAAATTATTATTAATGTTTAATGAATATTTATGAGAGTCCTAGAGAAAAATGATAAGTCTGGTATATATTGAAAGCGAAAAAGATTGTGAACTTAAATATATTTACATTTAAATTATAGTGTCGAATGTTATGTAAGACTGATATCCTCGGGATAAGTCAACAGATTTACAGTGAGTTCTCGCGAGTCGTTCAACTCACGAGTCGTTCAAACTCGTCAGTCGTTCAACAGCTGATCAGTGTCCGATTCACGAGTCGTTCAATTTCTGGTATGCGCGCGCTGGTGCTCAGTGCTGTGTAATTTAAACGGACCAAAGCCATTGAATATTGTGTCTTTCGGAGCGATAAATATGCTTCACACATCCCTGAAATCGCCTTGGAGGCGAGGCTTATGCGTTGAACGACTCGTGAGTTTTATGATCTTGAAAATTTTCGAGAATTGAACGACTCGCGAGAACTCACTGTATTGGCATTTTTTCAGCGAATACTATATTATACTAATTCGTCTCGTTGGTCTCGTTTAATTACCGCGCGACTTTCAAATCAAGCCAAATGATAATAAATCATCAATTTCGGAGGAAAAAAAATTTTTTTTCCACTTTTCGTTTGGCTGTAAGGGAGCGTTCACAAATTACGTAACATTATAAAGGGGTGGGGGGGGGGTCTAGCTATTTGTTATGTACAGCAGAAAAAATGGCGCTAATGTATGTAACAGTGTGTTACATGGGGGAGGGGGGGGTCAAAATTTTCAAAAATTAGCGTTACGTAATTTGTGAACGCTCCCTAAGCTGTAATATTATAACTGAATGCTAGGTAAGGAAAAGATACAGCGTGTATGACATTTATTATTAATATTTTTTATTATTATTAATAATTAATATTATTACTAGGGGAGAGTTGTCAGGGTTGGGCATAGTTTTGACTTTTCTTCATAACATCCTCTGTAGGACGAACTTCTCGATTAGCAACATTTTTTTTCCTCCTTTCCAATGGAAATGAAGTTTTTAACACTGACTTTTCCATGACTTTTTACTAATTTTATTTTTGCTTTTTTTGGGACAAAAATATGGTAACTGACATATTTAACAATAAATTAATATCTAATTATAGAAAGAAACGATAATAAAAATCTTCTAAGTTTTGTTAAATTAAAAAAATTTTTCATTCACAAAAAATTTTAATTTTTGTATAAATTTTTAGAAATTTCCCTTACTTTCAATGAAATTTTCTGCCATTCCCTGACTTTTCCCTGACCGTTAGACACCCTGAAAGACAGATGGCGCTAGTGTGATAAAACGAAATAAACGCGGTGACTCAACCCTAAACACTGCCCAACCCTGACAACTCTCCCCTATTATTATTATTATTTTTATTATTACTATTTTTATTATTAATTAATATTATTAATATTATTATTACACGGAAAAAAAAAGTTCCCAGATGTTTCAGGAATTATTTCCTAACTCTTGGATACGTGGTAACAGCTCTGAACTAGCGACGAACATTCAATGGTAATCAATGAATGTTTGAAAGAAATTCGGGAACTGTATTAGAAAAAGCTATAAATAGTCCATTAGTCTCTTTTTCATTACTTTCTCATGTAAAGTTCATGGCACTGGCCGCAACTGTTTCTGAAATTTTCGGGAACTCGTCAAGGAATCTTGGTGCGCAGAAACTGTGCGCACCAGTCTCAACAAGTCTCACCGTCAGTAAGACTTGCGTGCCTTATATATTTATTTTATGCTGAGGTATTTAACTCGCCTGTTTAGCTCAGCTGGATAAGACGCCGGACTTCTATTCTCGGGTACGCGAGTTCTGTTCCAGCCGCCGTCGATTTTTCTCTAATATGGTTTTTTCTATTTCAGAAACTTAATAAAAAATAAAAATTGTATGTGACCTTCAAGGATAAATGTGTGTGTGTGTGCGCACTTATTAATGAGGGGAAGTGGGAGGGGGGAAGCAGAATCCATTTTTTCTTGCATTCGCTTAACTTTTCGATTTTCTTGTACAGTTCCCGACTTTTTCAAGAACAGTTTGCCGAGAAGCGGTGAAATAGTTATAATTTGTAGAGAAATAGTAAATTACATATTTAAACGAGGCAACCTTTAGTTATCTGTGTACTACCCGCCGTATCCAAGAGTTAAGAACGAAGTTCCCGAATAATCCTCGAACTTTTTTTTTCCGTGTAGTATGATTATAATTATTGCTATTTTTATTTCTATTTAATTATTATTTCTATTTTTTTTTGTTTTTTTATTATTAATTAATATTAGATATTAATTATTTTGTGATATGAATCTTCAAGAATCGCGCAAAATCGTGGTTTTTAGCTAGGAAAAAAATATTTTGTCACGAGTCGTGACGATAACTTCGCAAACTAAAATATTGCTTAGATTATTTTTGTAGTTACGTGTAAAAAAAGAAAAAAAATTTTTACTTAACTTTACAGTAAAATCATTTGCAGTTTCTGTGCATTTTCAATGATAATTTTTTTTATATTTCCAGACAGTAAATTTTACTAATTTTCACTAAAAATTCGTAAATAGCAAAATTCACGTCCTTTGTACTAAAGTTTACTTTGAAGATAGTAAAAATTTACTTCCATTGTAGTAAAAAATACTTCGGAAAAAGTAAAATTTTCTACGAAAATAATAAGATTCAGTTTACAAAAACTAAAATTTACTTTGAAAATAACAAAAATTTTTTTGGGAAATAGTAAAATTTAGAGTAGTAAAAATTAAATTAATTTTTTTCCGTGTAACTAAAAAAAATGTACATGCCTAATATCAAAAAATGTATAGGAAAAAAAGATTTTCCACAAATTTTTCAACTCTGTTTATAACAGAGTGGAAAAATATGACTTTCAATTTTGCAAACACAGAAAAAATTTTAATCGCAAAAAAAATACAAGAGTAGTGTTATTGAAAAAAAGTTTTCTCAACAGCCATATTTGCCATAATATACGAAACTTGTGCAAAAAAAAACAACTAGTTTCTTTCTAATTATCATAGATTAATTTTGATTTTTTAAGAAAATTTTGATAGTTACAATTTTATAAGCTTTTTTTTGGTGAAAAATAATAATTATTATTTATCGCCTCTCATTTTTGACGAAAGTGAAAACGAAAATAATATCTCTTTCTTCGTATAGAGAAAGAGACTTTTAATTTTTTTTTCTTTGTAAATAAATATCATTTATCGAGGAGTTGGAAATTTATTTTCTGTTTTTTAATAACAAAAATAATTTTTTTTTACAAAAAAAAATTTTTTTATAAGGAAAATAATTTGTTTTTACAGAAAAAAATTTGTTAATAAAAAATAATTTCTTTTCATTAAAAAAAAAAAGAAAATAAGTTTCTAACGCGCGTTTATTTAATGATTTTTGCTCAAGCAATCATCAAGTTAGGATGACGGTGATCGTGATGCAATTTATTGATTATTGTTAATAATGCAATTATTTATAATTTAATATATCCACAAAACTCGTGATTATTGTTAGTTAATGAAAAAAAATGATGTACTAACAAACAACGAAAATAAAAAATATTTCCTCATTTATTGAGGAGTCGAAAAAAATATTAAGTATAACAACGTAGATAATAAATTGAATAAAATATATATTTTTAATTAATTAAATAATAAAAGGCAATTTTAATAGATCATTTTTAATTTATATATTACAATCGAAAAATTTTGTAGAGATGATGAAAAAAATCTCTTTCTCGAAAATAATAATTTTATACACAAATGCGAATCAAAGCGAATCTGTGAAGTGAATATTGAAATTCGAAATATTCTTCAATATATATTCTTCAATACTATGTTTACTACTAAAAATAGTAGTAAAATTAAAAAGTTTCCTTATGAATTATTAATTTTTTAATTTAATTTAATTTATTAATTTTTAACTCCTTTTTGATTATTAATTCTTAATTTCATTTTAATTATTAATTTTTCATTCTTTTTTTATTATTAATTTTTCATTCTTTTTTTATTATTAATTTTTCATTTCTTCTTGAATATTTCGAATCAAAAAATGTAATTTTAGTTTTTAAGCAATTAAGCAGTCGCCTTTCGATTTATATTCAGTAAAAAGTAAACTTTAAATTTTAGTTAACAAATATTAAAGAAATAGAAAAACATTTCCACTTAATCTCTAATTAAAATTATTTTTAATTATAATAAATAATTTACTTACAATTGAAAACTTATTAAAAAATGTTGAATATTAATAAGGTAAATTAAAAGTTTGTTTTTTGATTTAATTGTCAGTCATTTTTTTTGCAAATTAAAATTTAATTATTAAACAAATGAAATTAAAGAATTAAATTAATTAAATTAATAAAATTATTTAAATTAAGTAATTAAAGTTATTTAAATTAAATTAATTTAATTTACGTTAAAATAATCAGAAAAGGAAACTTTTTTATTCAAATACTTCCGGATTCAATTAAATAATTTTTTTCAAATAGAAGGATATTAAAAAATTTTAATATCTCTGTAGATCTGTTGGAGGATTGCAATACTCATTCAATTTAGAATTATAATTATTATTATTATAAATTATGTTAATAAATACAAATAGATTTTTGTTTGTTCTCTTAAATGTAAATAAAAAATCAATTATCGTCGAATTTAAAACAAATATTTTTTTTTGTTCAAAATGTTGAGAACTTTTATCCAAGGACACATATCCACTAAGAACTCATGAGAGTTTCTTTAAATGTAGATATTATTAATCTTACAGTATTTTTACATAATATTTCTTCCTATTTTTAGACAATAACCGCTGAGCGCATTATAATTACAATAAATAATTAATGAATTACAATTATTTTAATTTCAATTTTTATAATTACAATTATTGTATCATAATTATAATTATCGTAATTGCAATTATTATAATTAAAATTATAGTATTGTAATTATAATTATTATTATATTATTATTATAAGAAAAACTGTCATAAGTAAAAATTAATTTATATATTCGTATAAATAAATTACAATGCAATATTTGTAAGTAGTATACGGAATAATTCAGTAGTTGATTTTTCAAGTACTGTATATGGTGCTCAACTGTGTGCTTTCGAAATAAAAAGAATCTTCCCTTTTTTTATAGAATTTAATAATAGAAGTGATTTTACTTATAGCTCCTTATTATATGTACACACCTATTGAATAAAAAAAATAAAAAAATAAATTAAATTTTCCTTTATTTTTCCTGTGAAAAGTGATTAAAATAATTGCTGACAATTTTCTTTTAAAACTCTCTTTAGTCTCATTTATTATATAAAAAACGTCGTGAAATAACATACATTTAACATAGGAATGACATTAGTTTCATTTTCTGTACAGAGTGTATCTTAAAGATCTTGTGTAATTTTTCATCTCGAATTAAACGCCTTTTTTATCAGAATTCAACTGAAAATTAAAATACTCAATATATAATTTGTACACTGAAAAAAATACATTTTCTTCAGTTTGTACTAATTTTTTAAAGAATTAATAATAAAAAAGTGACTTTTTTCTCACACCTATACATAAATGCCGACCCATAAAAGAAGGAACAAAACACCAAAGCCGGAAAATATTGCAGCGACTAAAGAAACTAATAGTTCTTTGAAAATGTCTCTCGTGAATTTTGTACTCGTTACTTCGTAAACAAAGAACCAGGCTGTGAAAAAAATTCCAATTCCTAATAAAACTAGGGCGAGTAGTGGAAATATTGATGGATTTATCGGTGAGACATATCTCGCCATTGACTCAACAGCAACCTGAAAATAAAAATGCAAAAGTTAGTAAACAAAATAATTTCACTTTAAATTTCAAATAAAACCCACAAGAAAAAAAATGTTTTAATAAAAAAATGCATAAAAATAAATTTAATTAATTATTTAAATTTCAAATAAAATCCACAAGGAAAAAAATTCTTTAAACGAAAATAGTGTACAAAATCAAATTTAATTAATTATTTAAATTTAAGTTGCAAATAAAATCACAAGAAAAAAATGGACAAAAATAAATTTAATTAATTTTTGTCTTAAATTAAAAATTCTTTCAAGAATAAATAAATCGAAATAGAAAAATAAATACAAAAAATTAAATCTATTTTATATTACCTACACTGAAAAAAATAATAGGCAAAATGTGTTTTTTACTCAAGCAATTTTTGCCTAAGAACAAAAGCAATTGTTTCTTTAAAAAAGCAATTTTTGCCTAAAATTAAGGCAAAAATTACTTTTTTTTAAAGAAACAATTGTGTTACGCGTATTGCTTTAGTTCTTAGACAAAAATTACCTGAGCACATTCAGCACTTAACCAATTTTTTTTAAGTGTATTAATTTTGTATTTAAAAATAAAAGAAATGCGAAATATAATATTTTAAATATATAATTTAAATAAATGAACAAAACAAATGTATACAAAAAGAGAGTAAAAATAATTTTTTAGAAAAAATAATTTCGGAGCAATAAATAATTCGTAAATTAAAATACAACTATAATTAAAAATGTTTTCTAACTAATAAAACAAAAAGAAGAAAAATAAATATCCAATATAGAAAAGCGACAATATTAAGAAGTTAAAATGTTACCCTTTTACTGTTAGAATTTTCTACCAAAATTTACAGCACTTGTGGTATAAAAGTACCAAAAAAGAAATTAATATTTCAAAAAGTAATTCTACTTACTTATTTTATAATTTATTATAAATAATACTTACCATTTTTATTCAGATTATGTGACGTGGCTGGTAAAATAGAGAAAAGTAACCTCAAAAATTGACGCCCCCGGTGAGTTTAATACAACACAGTTTGTTATAAAAATGATTTTTTATTTAAATTCCCGTTGAGGAAAAAATTTCAAAACAATAACGAAAATTCAGACATTTAATTGTCAATTTTCTTTCAAACTTTCACTAAACTATTTTGCTTTTTTCCTTTAAAAAAGCATTTAAAAATGAAAAATCAGTCGACGTGGTTGACGGCTTTAAACGCAAACCTAAACAACACTGAACAACACCGAACAGAGACACGAAAATCACACACGTACACGGAGAAAAAAATCAGGGCTTTGTAGCATGGAGTGGTCTGTAGCTTTGTGACGTATGCGCATGATACGCTCGTCTCTCGATAGAGGCAGCACTAAATTTGCGGTTTTATTCAAATAATAATTTAATTAATAATATAATAAACACATTTAATTTATTGAAGTTTTTACGTATAGTTTAGAATATTGGCAAGCAACATGGGCAAATCGACAAAATACTTTCTCACAGTAAAATCTTAAGTGGAAAAAATCATAAACTCAAATACAATAGAGCATGCAGTGGAGGCGACGAAACTTAATCCTTCCCGTAATAAATATTTTAGGATTATTTGAGTATAACACAGGAAGGAAGAGTAAGGGTGCAATCCCATTACAGCAGAATACGTCGACCGAAAACAGAAAATCATGAGTGCAAAAGAGATATATAGATATTGTTGTTCTTTTCACTCTCATGATTTTCTGCTTTCGGTCGACGTATTCTGCTCACATGGGATCGCACCCTTAGGGTGCGATCCCATGAATGCAGAATACGTCGACCGAAAGCAGAAAATCATGAGAGTGAAAAGAACAACAATATCTATATATCTCTTTTGCACTCATGATTTTCTGCTTACGACATATTCTGTTCACATTAGATCTCACCCTAAGGAGACCGAACTCTGTGTAGAAAGCGCTTTAAAAATCCCAGAGAAATATGCACGAAAAGTGCCAGGCTCACTGCGTTCTAGTCGACCTCCAATTAAGTTGATCATGCGCATAAGCTGTGTTGTGTCTCTGCTTCTCGTAAAAATTGTGCGAGTGAGATGTAAGATCTAATGTTTACATTTAGCCGGTCTTAGTGAGATACATACATATACAATACATTTCGTTTTAACCTTTAAAGTGCTAAGTGTTGAAAAATCACGCTCAGTGCTAACCCCGGTCTGTCAGACCGCTATTCCCTTTTGACAGTTTTTTAGTCATTTATAATTTTTAAAAGACAACTATTATAAATATTTTTTACTTTTTTAGGGGTTATATACAGTCAGGCGGTCGAAAAAATGCAGTTTTTCAGGATTTTTTTTAAAAAGGAATATTAACTTATTAAAGCGAAAGTTTTCCTATAATGTTTTACATCTTTTAAAGTTTTAAAAAATATATTTCATTTGTAAAAATATTATTTTTTTTGGCCTCTGTAGCTTATCTCCCAAAGATCCACGAAAAAAAAGTGCCCCGCGGTGAACAAGATAACAATTGATAGAATCATCTGAGATCAAAAAGTTAAATAGATTCTGTTAGTGTATGAGAAAATATAGTCTTTGATCGTTGGAATTAAAAAAATATCATGTTTTGACAAAATGGCAGCCAAAGAAAAAAAAAGTTCATTTTTATGAAGAAAAAAATCGTCTTCAAATGTTGATTAAAATTATAATTTTCATTTTATTTGAAAAACCAACGATCAAGGACAGCAAAAAGTAGTTGTTAAGCTTGTGTGAAAATTAGAGCTAAATCGGTTCAGCGGTTTTTGAGAAATCGTGTTCACCGACTTGAAAAACATAGTTTTGAGAAAAGCGAGTTTAAAGACGCTGCACCTGCTCTATACCCCATGGCGCGCCTTTCTAGTTTTGTCTGCAACTTCGAAAATATTTCTCGAATCTTAATAAAATTTTTTTTCACAACAGGCAAATATATATATACTTTAAGAAAATGCAAAAAAAAATAATCGATTTTTTAAAAATCGTGACTGTATATAACCCCTTAACAAAAAAAGTCATTTCTGTATTATGCATTTATTTATTTTATAAATGCAGTCTATGAGAACTATCAGTAGAACTAGCTGCGCGTCAAGTTGCGCAGACGTCACTCATGGGAATATACTGGAATATACTTTCACTTAAAGCTGACCCCGGTCTCACAGACCGCTATACTTCAAATATTTATTTATATTACAAAATTTAACGAATAAAAATTTTTGAAAAAGTTGTCTCCTAACAGATTTTCATAAAATATAAAGCTACTAAAAAGTTCAAGTTCTTATTATACTTTGAAAAAAAGTTACAAGCAAAGAAAATTTTAATAGCGGTCTGTCAGACCGGCATAGCACTTTAAAGGTTAATAATTATTTATTTATTTTATTTAAAAAATGTCGTGTTGTGTGCCAGGATGTAAAGAAAGAAAAAGAGTCTAAAAACATTAGTCTCTTGTATCCTTCTACGGTATGTAAATATACTCTAGTTATAAACACAATTCTTCTTAACCATTTTTGCAAAATTTTTCCCTTTTCATAAATATATTATTAAATTATTTTAAAAATCTAAATAATATCACAATTGTAAATAAATAAATTTGCTTTTAAAATTAACACTGTTTAAACTATGTAATATTTACCTTGACATAACCACACTTTTCATCTATGTCAACACTGAACTTTAGTTCAATGCGCATGATCGACTTAATTGGTGATCAACTAGAACACAGTGAGTCTGGCACTTTTCGTGCATATTTCTCAGACATTTGTAGAAGCAGAGTTCGGTCTCCTTACTCTTCCTTCCTGGTATAACACTAAAAATAAGTACATGTTTTACTTATTTGTCACGTTTTTGAAATTCACATTTATGGTCTTTAAGAAGCAATAATGCTTCTTAAAGAAACTCGAGTAAATCGCTCATCTGGTTACCATAAAACCCCAAGACCCTTTTTTTTGCCTGAGCAATAAAAAGGGGATGCTTTTGTTTCGTCATCCCTGCTGCATGGACTAGTTAGAAAAAATCTGAAACACCTTCTTTTTCCGCCTTTTTGGGTTTTTCCTTTTTTTAACGAATTAGAGTAAAGGAGGCGTACGAAAGTGCCTTCCTTCCTGGCACTCGGGGATGGGGGCGGAGGTCCCCAGGATGGGACCATAGGGTCTCGGAGGAAAACGAGAAGTTAGAAATTATTCTACTTCCGAAGTATTAACTTGTTCATGGAATAAAATAAAGTTAAAATAGAATGAAATTAGAATTCTTTAATTTAATCAAAATTCACTATAACAAAAATCCCTGACAATTATAAATTAACAAATTAATAGTTCTTTCACCGCGGGAGTTGAGCTTCTAAGCTCTTTGTTGCGGAAACGAGCCATCATCGTCGAGGATTCCGCTTCGAAAATAAATCCCTAATTTAAATTAAAAAGACAATAATAAAATTCTTAAAAGTTTAAATTTTGAGAGCTTTACCGCGCAAATCTGACTCGGCGCGAGCTTTAGCGCATGGGCGCTTCCTTGAGGCGAAAGAACGAACTCGTACGATTGCAGCAAGGCTCCTTAAGGCCAACCAAGAAGACTAGAGACAGGAGGAGTAAGTTCGCTGTATTACCACAGAGAACGGTGACGTAAAATATGAGGGCAATGCAGGTGGCGTCTTGGCAAGTAGATGGTGTAGTAGACGAAAATTAGTCTTCTGCGCATGTAAACACATTTATGTTTTGCGCGGTTGATACTAAAAATATTGTTATATTTGTGGTTATGTCGAGAATTTTCACCGGTTGAAAAATATAAAAAATAAATGAATCACATATAATTTAACTAAAAAATAAAAATGCCTGCTATTTGCAGCATAATAGATTGTGGATGTGATGGTGGCGTATGATAAATGGTAAATATATTCTAATAAAATTATGAATAATATGCAAAAGCATAATTATATACAATACCTTGAACAAATCTTGGCGAATTCGCCAAGAACTGTAAGAGTAGTATTATTCTAAAATCACGCTTTTTTCCTTACTTTACTCACAAGCGTATTTGTTATATAAATATATATAACAATTAAATTTTACTTCTCCAGTATTCATAACCTCTCTATCATACATTGCGTTGTTATCGTTGTTATGCTTTTCTTGCTCTTCTGCTATACGTGCTATACTATAGTTCTATATATACTTGCGCAGTAAACCATTTTTGGTTAAGGCCAACGCAGAATAGATCTGTAACCGGACCCGCTATCGTAACCGTAAGCGTAAGAATGAGTTAGAGAAGGATAAACAATATACCTATCCTTCTTAAACTCATTCTTACGGTTACGCTTACGATTGCGGTTCCGGTTACAGATCTATTCTGCGTTGGCCTTTACTAAAATAGGGCGAGCTCTTGCTGCAATCGTACAAATTCGTTCTTTCGCCGTAAGGAAGCGCCCATGCGCTAAAGGTGTGACGTATGTGCATGATACGCTCCTCTCCCAATAGAGGCAGCACTTAATGCGCGGTTTAATTCAAATAATTAAACATAAATTAACGCAACCACCACATTATAATTATTGAGATTTCTATATAATTCAAATTATTATTATTATTAATTATTATAGAAAATATTTAGTCGATTTGCCAATCGACTAAATATTTTCTCACGATAAAATCCTGAGTGGAACGAATCATAAAATTGAATACAATAAAGCATGCAGTAGAGGTGACGAAACTTAATCCCTCACAATAAATATTTTAGGACTTTTCAGAGTATAACGTTAAATTAAAGTACATGTTTTACTTATTTGTCACGTTTTAGAAATTCTTATTTTATAGTTTTATTGCTTCTTAAAGAAACTCGAGTAAATCGCTCATCTGGTTACCATAAAAACCTAAGACCCCTTTTTGCCTGGGTAATAAAAAAGGGGACACTATTGTTTCGTAATCCCTACTGCATAGACGAGTTAGTAAAAATCTGAAACACCCTCTTTTTCCGCCTTTTTGGGTTTTTCCACTTTTTAGCGAATCAGACATAAATAGGCGTATATATGTATTCCTTCCTGGCACTCGTGGGGGGGGGCAAAGGCCCCCAGGATGGGACCGTATGGTCTTGGAGAAAGCAGATACTGTTCTACCTCGAAAGTATTAACAAGATATGTTGAGAGATTAAGAATAAAGTCAATATAGTATGAATTTAGAAGTTTCATTTAATCACCAATAATAATAATTTTTAACTTGTATTTTTCGCTAAGCAAGCAGTAAAGTATTCATATCACCGCGGAAGTTGA